ATTCCACTCTAAAAAAGTTCACAAAGATGTCTTACCCAGATGTTGAATCAGTTTCTTCTTTGAACAATCGACTTATCATTGAGGAGCTAGATTACGACATTCCCGTTATAAAGAATGAGTTTGATCCTATTTTTATTGCATTAACAAATGAGCAACGTAACATTTTCCTTAACATCATGTGTGTTGTTAAAGAAAATAAATGAGGTGTTTTCTTCGTTTATGGTTATGGTTGAACGGGTAAAACTTTTCTATGGAAGACAATATCTGCAGCAATTAGATCTGAGGGTAATATTGTTTTAAATTTTGCTTCAAGCTGTATTGCTTCGTTATTATTGCCCGGTGGTAGGACATCACACTCTCGATCTATACTTCCATTTGAACTTACAGAGGATTCTTTTTGTAAAATAAATCCAGATGGTGAGTTGGCTAACTTATTAAGAAAAACCTCTTTGATAATTTGGGATGAAGCACCTATGATCCATAAGCATGCATTTGAAGCTTTAGATCGAACTTTGAAAGGTATATTAAGGTGTGGAAATTCTAGCGTCTAAAATATTCCTTTTGGAGGGAAAGTTATTGTCTTTGGAGGAGATTTCAAACAGATTATACATGTTGTTCCGGGTGGCAGCAGACAGAACATTGTTAATGCTTCTTTGAGTTCTTCATATTTATGACAACATTGTAAAGTGTATAGATTAACAAAAAACATGAGGCTAACTGTTGGAAGGGATCAACCTGACATAGAAAAAATAAGAGATTTCGCAAATTGATTATTGGATATAGGAGAAGGCAAACTCAGTGGTCCGAACGACGGCAAAACGATTATCGATATTCCGAATGATATTCTCATTAATGATCCAGATGATCCTATAGGTTCATTAATTGTGTTTGTATATTCTTCAATTTTGGAGAAGTAGAGCAGTACAAATTATTTCCAAGAAAGAGCTATACTTGCTCCAAAGAATGAAGTTGTTCAGGAAATAAACGAGCGTTTGCTTAACAAGTTTCCATGAGATGAGGTTGAATATTTAAGTTCAGATAGCCTATGTCAGTCCGAATTTGTCCATGATCACTTTGATGCAAATTTATACTCACCTGATGTATTAAATGGTTTTAAAGTATCCAGTCTACCAAATCATAAGTTAGTTTTAAAAATTGGTGTTCCAGCAATGTTACTGCTAAATATTGATCAGAAAAACGGCTTATGTAATGACATAAGACTACAGATGATATCATTGGGCAAACGTGTTATCGTGACACGTATAACGTCTAGAACTAATATTGGAAATCGGACTTTCATTCCAAGAATGTCTTTAACTCCGTCAGAAAAAAAAATTCCTTTCAAATTCACAAGAAGAAAGTTTTCTTTGGCGGTATGTTTTGCAATGACTTTTAATAAGAGTCAATGACAATCGTTATCGAAGGTTGGTTTGTTTCTCAAAGATCCGGTTTTTTCACAAGGGAAATTGTATGTTGCATTATCTAGAGTTCAAAGCAGAGAGGGATTGAAATTATTAATTTCAGATAAAGATGGTAGACTCACAAATAAAACTTCAAATATTGTTTATAAGGAAATTTTTCGCAATTTATAACCAACTTCTTTGTAGCATCTTTTACTCATTTTTATCAAAGCACATTTAGTCCATCATAATAATTTATTTATTTGTAATTACGTATTGTATTTTTTTTTATGTTAATTTCAGTACATACATATTTTGTTTGTTTTGTATCAAATCAATTCCGATGTTGTTTTGGGTTTTTGGTCGTTATTTAAACGTATGTTGCATTATATAAAATAATTACTTTTATAAAATATGTAGTTATATATTTACCATTTATTGTGTAATTAAATACTTATAATTAAAAAAATTATTTAAAAATACTATATAAGTTTTTCAACTTAATGATATATTATTTATTATATAATTAAATTTTAAATTCTATTTAACATCCACAGGTTTTCACTTAGTATATATCGTTAACTTTAAGTAAAAGCCTATCAAATTTACTAATTTATAACGCGTGTATATATTATCCTATGAATTAAAAAGTTACGGTATATACACGTGTGTGTATAAGAGATTTATATTTAGATCTGACCAAGTATGCAGTAACTAATTTCATGGGGTTCGGGAGTACACATGTATGATTCGATCATGACAATTATTATTGTTGATTGAGATTGTTTCACGGGCATCCACTCACTATTTTCCTAGAATGTCAGTTCTCCATCGTCATCATTCACAATAAATTTAGAATCCAAGAAGAGCAGCTAGCAACAAGATCGAAATGGAGATCATGAGCAAGTTAATTTTGGTTTCACTTTCATTGATTTGGTGTATAGGGGGGATTGTTGAGGGCTTCACATATGATGAAAAAGAGGTTGAGACAGAGGAGGGAAAGTCGGCTATGTTTGAAAGGTGGAGGAGTCACCACAATATGCAGGCTATGCACGACAAAGACAAAAAAAAGCAGTACGAAGCGTTCAAGGCAAACCTGGAAATTGTTCACTCGACAAACAAGGCAAAGAAGCCATATAAGTTACAGATGAACAAGTTTGCAGGGATGGGTAAGGCCGAGTTTCAGAGCAAGTATACTGGATTGAAGGCTTCTCCAAAGATCCGGCCAGGAATGAAGTCTATCGTCAGCGAGGCCGAGTGGCCTCACCCTTTCAAGTATCGTAATTTCACTGATGTCCCACCGGCTATTGACTGGAGAGCCCAAGGTGTCGTCACCCCTGTCGTGAATCAAGGAGGATGTGGTAAGTGGCAACACGTACATAACGTTTTTGCTTTCAATAAAGGGGATATATATGTATTTGTAATATACGTAATTATATAGTATTACACATGCATGCATGCATGCAGGAAGTTGCTATGCGTTTGCAGCAGCAGATACAATTGCATCGTTACACGCGATCAGAACAAAGCAACTAATAGAATTATCACCTAAAGAAATTCTCGACTGTTGTAATTGTGGCGGATGTAACGGAGGGAAAATGCACGATGCCTTCTTGTACGTTGCAAACAATAAAGGTCTAACAACTGCCAAAAACTATCCTTACAAGCCTGTGGCTGAGACTTGCAATGTTAAAAAGGTTAGATTGAGTAATGCATGCATGTCCCAAATCAAAACTTGTTATCATCATCATTATCATCTCATCTCAACTTTTTGAATGAATATATAACAGGAGCACGATGTTGCGGTAGAAATTCATGGATATGAGCGGGTGCCATTTAATTCTGAGCCGGCTCTTATGGCATCAGTTGCGAACCAGCCTGTACAAGCTTCAATTGAATGTGAAGAACCTTTTATGTTGTATAAAGAGGTAACTCAAACCTTATTCAGCATAATTAAAAGATAGATTATATATAATTAATTAACTAATAATTGATTTACAGGGAGTTATGACTGCACCTACTGGAACCAACACTGGACATGCAGTCGTAATTGTTGGATACGATACGGATCCTGATGGAACCAAATACTGGATAGCGAAGAACTCTTGGGGAACAGATTGGGGAGAGGAAGGATACGTGAGACTCCTTCGTGGAGTTCCAGAGAAAGAGGGGTACAGTGGGGTAAATACGAAACCTCGCTTTCCTACTAGGGAAGAAGCTGGTCAAGATGATACAGGACGCGGCGACCCTGTGGTTCATATGAGTAGAGACCTCTAGAGGAACCACAACATACTCTACGATACTTATTAATCTCCCTTCTAGCAGGATGCGAGGTATGATACGATTACTGATCATAACGCGGAGATTCATGATAAATTTTCTTTTAATTTTGTAATATGGAATTCAACATATAACACTTCTTTATTATACCCAAAAGTTTGTGGTCAAATCATGTTCCATCATTTGTTTCTTAAGATGAATGGCTACAAAACATCTGATTTTGGGGGTGCCATTATAATAATTATGATGGAGTTAATTTTTGATGTAAAAAATTATACGGATAAAAATGTAATGTAAGTGAGATGTTATTGACGACCCCATTCATATATACCATCTTCCAGGTTTATGCGCCTGGATTTGTTTCTCAACAACTCAAAGTCTAACATGTTTTAGCTGTTTATTTTTATTTTTCTACGAATTTGTTTTTTGTCCTAGTTTTTTTTCTTTGTAATGAAAACTAAAAAATCGTTGCTCTTAAATATTTGTTTCATACAAAATGAACATAATAATGAAAACTTATAAAAAACTTAATGTTTATATTATTTTTTTCTAAAACCAAAAGAAGCAATTGGGTCCGCATTTCATTGAAATTTTAGAGAATATTCTTGAGTTAGGTAAATAAAACCGGAAAAAAAAAAAAAAAAACATCAAAAACTAATAGGATCCAAAGTTATTTATTTTATGCAACTAAACAATAATTAATAATACAAGATACATAGATAAGTTACCTACAATTGAAGTCTAAAAAGAATTCTAAAAACTCAAACTCGAGTTTCTCTATCAAAATTGAAAACTTTGGCTTCAAACATACAAAATTTTCAAGCTCTCTTCTTTCACAAGAAAATGCACATTTAGGGACGACAACATGCATCGCAAATAGTCAAGATTGTCGCCCCTAAAGGTAATAGGGACGACATGTCGTCTCAATTAGGTCGTCACAAATACCTCGTAGTTAATACTCAAAAGTCGTCCCTAATACATGTCGTTGCTAATAGTTGTCGTCGTCCGTAAAGGTGTCGTCCCTAATAATATTCCGGCTACCGGTCAGTGTTACTCCGGCCAAATATTCCGGTGGGATGTGTCGTCGCTAATACTTAAGATCGTCCCTAAAGATGTCGCCACTAATGCTTGTTTTTTTTATTTATTAAATTTATATTTTATATTAGTTTATATTATAAAAATATAAGATTTATAAAATTATAAAACTTATAATTTAAAAATTTGCATTATATAAAACATCAAATAACATTACATAAAATATATCACATTAACATCATCTAAGTCCATAATAACATCATCCATAACATAAAGTAATATATACTAATCGTCGTCCCTATCATCGTTTTCCTCGTCATTATTGGTCGCATTGTCGACTTGCTTGCTAAATGACCGGATAATATCTTCATTTGCCATCACAAACACCGGGTTTTGGAGAAAAGCATTAACATCCACATCCTACAAAGTAAGAATACAAGTTAAAATATTTCATACTATAAAAATAAATTATTATTACTTAACAATTAAGTCACAAACACATTAAGCCCTTAACAATTTAACAAACAACCAAATTCATAACAATTTAACAAACTAACAAACTACCAAACTATAAAACAACAAAATTCACAACAAATTTATAAGTACCTGTGTTGGTTGCGATGTCTATGACTGTGTCTGCCACTGGGCGGGAGCACTTGTACCTGCGACGGAAGACTTAGGCCCGATGCCTCTCACATGTCCCCTTTGAGCACCTAACACCTTCTCAAATAAGGATATCCAATCAATGGAGTTCGGATCACCACCGGAGTCAGCTATGTATTGAGTTTGTAAAGAAACCTCATAAACTAAAGTATTTTGCATTTCACAAAGATTATTAATACACTTCAAAACAAACACAAAAAAACAACATTCTACTTCATTTTTAAGTAATAATAACTTACATATTGTTCTTCAACTAATGGGTCAACGAATTCCCCTTGTTTACTAACATGTGCACGGTGAAATACTTCAAGTTTATTCAAATTTTGTTTAACATTAAAAAAATATGTTATACTTAAATAAACATTACAAAATATGTTATAACTGAATAAACATTAATGTAACTTACATTTTTGAAAGAAGCACTACCGTAGTTGCACGTCCCTCCACGATTCTTAACTACTTGCTTCTTCCGGCATTCTTTGCTTACACTAGATCGTTTACAATGCGTATCAGTTTAGAAGTGGTCAATAGTAGCACTCCAACTCGCTGAATCTATACCCACGGGGGATCGAGCCCTTGCTGCCTCCACACCCTCTAGCATATCTATAAATTTACCTTTCGCAATATTTTTGCTGCCTCTATACCGCAGACATATCCGATGGTTCAGTGATGCCCACAAAATTCTAGCATCGAGATCATTTGAAATGGCTTGAAAATCAAAATATGTCTACAAGAAATAAGAAGTTAAAAACAAATCAAAGTTAAACATGTTAAATATAACTTTATAAATAATAAATAATTTACCGAAAGATATGTAAACATGCCATTCCGATCGGCTTCAGGAACTTCTTTCCAGGTGTTCTTATCCAAAGCTATGTCACGTCAGATATAACTTCCAACCTCCCGAATAAAACATTCGTATACATCCCCAATCAGCACAAAAGTATTTATGTCAAATATTATTTTTAGAGGCTGTCTGTCGTTTGCTTCATATAGTCGATGCATTTTCTTGTTTATTGCCATACCTCTTCGTCTGGGAGGTACAGCTGAAAAAAAATATTAGTAAAGATAGTTTTTTATATACATACAATATGAAATACATTGAATTAGAATAAATCTTAATTACAATCAATCTGGTGAACACCAAAATTTGCATCGAACGGATGTGGTGGCTCGTCACCACCATCACCTCCATGGCCCATCACAGCAGCTGCATAACCACCCCAAAAACTTTTCTTGGCTCTGATACCATCTTTGTACCATCTATATACTAATTATCAATTTTGATACCATCTGTGTACCATCTATGTACTAATTATCAATTTTGGAACTAGAAAACAACTATCAATTTTGGAACTAGAAAACAACTAGTTTTGTTTTTAGATAACGTATCTGTTTGTAACGAATTTTAATACTTGCTCTTATAAATCATCTAACATCATGAATATGATTATTGTTTAAAATTGTACCTTGATTATTAGGTTTATGAGAATCTTTAAGATTTTGCTCAGAGTTATTAATAGATTCTTGGATTTGCTGTATTTTTAAAAGAATATTTCTATTAGGAATACAATTCATCAAGATTTTGTTAGACATAATTAAATGATTTAACCATGAATTTGATTAATTTGATTATTAAAAACGAGTACTATTTTAACAAAAATTTCAAATCTTGTAGAATTAATAGTTAGAATAACTCGAAATGAAATTATCATTATCATAGAGAAATAAAAACAACACAGCGATAAAATATTTTAGATAATACCTTCTTGAATTAGGCTTGAATTACAATCAGTACATACTTCTGGAGAAAGAATTATTTGAAAATCTAAAGACTTTGAACATCTACTAGTAGAAAGAGAGACTCTTGGAGATTTTTTAGACATGGGATGAACATTTTTTTAGAGAATGAAATTTTTTCTTGTGTCTTCAACTAAAGGATAGTCTCTATTTATAATCATCTTGGAGTCTTCAAAGTCTTGAAATCATCTAGTGATAATTTTTTTTTTGCCGTAAGAATCCATAGCCAATCAATAGAAATAATTACTTGTAAGTGGTTGTCCTTGAAAGTGGTTGTCATTCATCTTTTGAAACAATTGTCGTTTGTAATCAATGACCATCTTCTTTTAATAAAGCAAGCCATTATAGAACATCTTCTAAAGTTTTTTGTCTTCATATCATCATTGATTATAGATTTGATAATAATTTTGATAAAATTGTTTATACATAAACACATGAATACCTACATAGTATACATGTATTCGTATTTGAAAAACGAAATTTTGATAATAGAATAAACGAAATATTTAAAGTATTACATCAAATTTATGGATAATGATTTCTTATTCTTCATAAGGATCATCAAAAGGGTCTTGAGCATCTTCAAATAAATCATTCTTTATAGATTTTGGAGAATCGTCAGAAACTTATGGAGTTTGGCGAATTTCTTGAAGTAATTTTTGAAGTTCTTCAGGAGAAGAGGTAGCAGCATCTTTAATTCTTGCAATTAGATCCACATCACTTTTGGGAAGACTGTGGATAAAAGTGGCTTCGACTTCTGGTTTTTGAATATATATTTCTTGATAATGTTTAATTACTGCTTGTTCACTGGCTTGAGAAATCTTCATTTTATCCCACCATTTTGAGCGAAATTGGCGATTAAGCCAGGGAGGAGAGGAGTCCTTTGCTTCTTGATAATGAAAAGTCCAAGACATTATCCATGGAACTTTAAATATCATAGTGAATTGTAACATGTATTCAAATTCTAGAATTTGTTGAATAAACAATTCTTTAAATTTGAGATATCCAACGTAAATTTCTTTTGGTAAACAATTTGGAAGAATACTCATATATTTGTACCAATTGATAAATCATCTTGGATATTCACAATTGAAGTTTAAATCAAAGAAAATAAACCATGAATGTGAATAATTCCGAATAAAGAATGCCTTAGTCCAGGCGTCTTGATAATCATAGTAAGAAAATTTGGGATAAGTAGGATAACTTATAAGAGGTTTTTCAGAGTGAAGGTTTGGAACCCAAACTTTCTGGGAGAAATGATTTTGATAATATGAGCTTTGCTAAAAGTCAATGTTTCCCTCTTTAGAATTAGAACGATGAACAAAATTGACTGAACCAGATTTTTGCAGAATAGCTTGATAATATTCTCGGGTTTTATATGAATCAACATAAAAGGTTTTCCCTTGTCCAAAGAGATGATTGGTGAGAATATGAAAACCTTGGTGTAACTTATGGATTTGAAAATCTTTAATAATTTGAACTCTTAGGAAATTTGGATTAAGAACATAAGGAGTTTTTGTAGAAGGGCTAGGAGTAACAGATTTTTTAGTATGAGGAGTGATAGGTTTTGCAAAAGGGCTTATTGTCTCGGTTGAAGTAACTTTTGGAGTAACAAGCTTTGACTGAAGGATATTAGAATAAAGTTGTGAATTCTTAGAAGTAGGTGTTAAAGGAGAAAAACGATTTTGATTTTGAAATGGAACTAGCTTTTGAGAGGCTGGAAACAAGATTTTGAGAGACTGGCTTCTTGTCATCATGTTTGGAAGAGGACGACGAACTCATTTTCCCCTGCAAAAATTCTCGAGAAAGAAAGTCAGGAAGCGAGTTATTTTCTCCTTTATAAATTCTATTTCGAAATCAAGTTACCTAAAGAGGGCTTGCCAACGAGCAAAAATTTGCTTGGAAATAATATTTTTTACATCTTTTTCCAAAATACTTTTTGCAGATTGACAATCTATTCTTAATAAAAAAACTTTTCATAAAAAAATCATCTTCAAATTTCTTGATACATAAAACAATGCTTAAAATTTCCTTTTTTGACAGTTGAATAATTTTCTGTGTATCATTCCATGCACCAGAGTAATATCGAACCAATTGCTCTTCAGTTGAGTTAACAAATTTTTGTTTTAAAATTCCTCCGAATCCAATATCACTAGCATCGGTTTCAACTATGATTTTGGCATCGGGATGAGGTAAATTTAAACATGGCAAAGTAGGGACCTTTTGTTTTATATATTTAATTATATCTGTATGTTTTTGAAGTCCATGGTTCAGGATTGTCTTTTAATCGATTATTAAAGCGGTTTACATATGATCCCTAAATATTTGAAAAAATCATGGATATAATTTAAGCATCCTAAAAATCTTTGAAGTTGTTTTTTATCTTTAATTTCATCAGGAAATTTAGTATAAATTGCAAGCTTCTTGTTATAGGTCTAATAGTGTTTTTGACAATATCATGTCCTAAAAACGAATTTCATTTTTAAATAAATGCATTTTTTGTTGCAGAGACAGCTAAACCATTTGATAAATTAAATCATGAAATTGATTTAAATGTTTAAAATGTTGATCAATTGATTTTGAAAAAATTAGGACATCATCGATAAAGCAATAGCAAAACTACTTATAGGAGTTATGATATCATTCATAATATTTTGGAATTCAGAAGGAGCATTTTTTAATCCAAAAGGCATTACATTCCATTCAAAATGCCCAAAGGGAACATTAAAACCAGTTTTGTATTTATCTTCCTCATGAAGTTGTATTTGCCAAAATCCTGATTTCATATCAAACTTTGAAAATATTTTTGAATCATAAAGCTTTTTTAGCAAATTTCGTTTATTAGGAATAGGAGAACAAATCCATTCTAAAACTTTGTTTAAAGGTTTATAATTGATAACTAATCTTGGTGATCCTCTTTCTAATTCTGCAACATTCATAACATAAAATGTTGAACAAGACCATGGTGATTTAGAAGGTCTAATGTGTTTTTTATTTATTAAATCTTGAATTTCATTTTTACAATGACTTTCCAATTCATTATTCATGTGAATGGCTCTAGATTTTGAAGGAATATCCTTTTCATTAAAAAAATTTATATATGGTAGTTTTACAATGTGTTGCTTTCTATTCCAAAAGGCATTAGGAATATTAGAACAAACATTTTTTTCAAATTTTAACTTTAATCCTGTTATTTTTATTTTGAATATTATTATCACTTAATTGATTAGTTATTCGAACATTATTTATTTCGTTAATAAGATATTTGGTTTGTTGCGTTTTATAATTAAGGACATTAATCGTTGAATATAGAGGAGGTTCACAAAATTTAAATATAATTTCCTTTCCAAAAACATTGGTTCTTATACCATCATCATGAACCATAAAAGGATATAGTTTTGTAATGAAAGGTGTTCCTAAAATTAAAGGAGAAGAGAGATCTTTTACTAGAATTAGGTGAGTTTTATAACAGTAATCTTGGTCATTACAAATATGAACATCAGAAACTTTATAATTTACAATTAATTTTGTACTTCCGGCACCAGTAAGTCTAGATGTAGTTTTTTCATAAAATTGTGTAGGAAAAATTCCTTCTTCAATACAATTCATATCAGCACCACTATCAATTAAAGCAGTTAGGTTGATTTTAAAATTATCCTTGATTAAAGTAATTTGAGTGTTTCATTTTTGAGAAACTTGATTATTTATAAGTTTACCAATAGTTACATTTTCAATTTTATTTTCTTCTTCGTATTAATTTCTATATTTTTGTTTTTTAAAAGTAGAAGGTTTTTCCTTTTTCTAAAATTAAAAATTTTATTTTTTATTTCTTTTATTTCTTGTTTTACTATTTTTAATTCTTCTTGAAGTTCTTGCATAGAAATTGGCTTTGCTTCAGTAAATCTTTCGTATATATTTTTTAAATTAAATTTTCATTATTAGCAGGAGTTATGTTATTAGTTTTATTAAGCATCTGTTTTATTAGCAATTCTTGGATATTTTTATCTTTTATAGAAGATCAAGAGAGTTTAAAAGATCTTT